CGCCTCGCAATGACATCATCTCCTTCGCCCTCGTTCCTGCTGGAGGACAGGAAGCAGTGAGGTGTGTCCCACCTCATGCTCCGCTGCCTCATCGTGCGAGGTTTTATTCCCACAGCATCAGGACTTTAAAGTCACATGACCTCTGACCTCTGGACCGGTGTGGACGAGTTCAATAAAAACTCAAATCTTCTCGATGAGAAGCGGAACGAGCTGCCGGTTTGAGCACAAATCCTAAAAATGTTTGAGAATAAAAAAGAAACAAACATGAAGTTGAAACCAGGTGGTGGTGATGGTGGTGATGGTGGTGATGGTGGTGGTGGTGGTGATGGTGGTGGTTATTCCAAAAATGTCTGGGAGTTCTGATTTTTGACACAGAAATTCACAAAATGTATCTAAATTAAACACAAACATGTTTAAATATGTGAATAAATAGCAGACACACGGGGTGTCATCTGAAATTATCAACGAAATTATGTTTCCTGATCGACGGACAAATAATTTCAGTGTTTTATTAAAGTGATAGTTTCTTTTTTCAGTAATTCTTGGACGAAAATAGGAAAACGTTTTAGTTCTGGATCTAATTTAACCAAACGAGATGTTTATTGAGAACACATATTAATATTAAAGTTATTGTCCTGGAGCAGTTTGTCTCAACGAAAACATGAAAAAAAATCTACAATAAACTGTATTTCATTTAACGTTAAGGTAAATAAATAAGTCATTGAATAGAAAAACGAATTAAAAAATAGTCAAAAATCTTATTTTGACTTTTCTTGATAGAATTCATGAAATTTATGAGTTTATGAAAGTTTAATGTGCTGAAAAATAAATGTTCAAATATAAAATGCGAGTCAAAAAGTTGAAATCGTGTTTAGTAATCTGCATGAGATAAACCTGTTTTAGTAGAAAAGTGTGTCACAAGAGCTGTAACGCATTTAGATTTTACTGAAAGCTAACACACACACACACACGCTGGGACACACACACACACACACACACACACACACACA